GGTACCAATTCACATGAGGGTCATCGCATCAGACTTAACGTCGAAGACCCTGACGGAATTAACCGCCATGCAGCAGTATATCGACTAGAAGCTCTCCCTTCCGTCAACCTGGAGCCAGATCATTTGGAACAAATCTGCGGCTATCCTCACAGAGAAGGGTACACGCATGGACCCCAGCAATATCCGGCAACTCACCGCCGGCCACAGAACTGCTTCAATCCCGTCTGCAGAAAACCAGACCACTTGGGCGCGACTAGCAGCATGAGCAAAAATGGTACAGGAACAGAAGTGGGACCGTCTACTCGTCACCTCTCACCCACCGAGCATAATATCACAGACGGTGAGACACACGTGCTGAGCCAGTATCTTGTCCACTCTTACCCACCGGACAATTTGCTCCTGACACCTCTTTGGACGCACATGGAAGAGATAATCTGGCTTTTACACCTTCTATGCATCCCACAGTGCTCAATTTTCCGCCGGGTCCCAGTGAGCATATAAATGGTGACAAAAATCTGGAATCACATTTGAGAAGTCACCCACGTGATATGAACAATCAAACTCCAGTCCCTAAGCACCTCAATGAATATGATGTTGACCTACCACCATCTTTGGACCATTCACGGTCAATTGCAAATCAAGCTGACTCAGTAGTATACCCAATATCTAATTTTATCAGTTATGAGAAGTTTTATAAACGACACAAAGCCTTTCTGACCGCCATCACTTCACATGATGAGCCAAAACAATTTTCGCAGACCATTTTAGCTCCAAAGTGGCGGGAGGCTATGCAACGGGAGATTCGTGCTTTAGAAGAAAATGGTACCTGGACCTTGGTACAGCTACCGCCAGGAAAGAAAGCAGTCGACTCTAAATGGGTTTATAAAATAAAATATAAACCTAACGGCGATGTGGAACGCTACAAGGCAAGATTGGTTGCCAAAGGCTTCACACAAGTCGAAGGAATTGATTTTCATGAGACTTTTGCTTCAGTTGCGAAACTCGTCACAGTACGATGTCTGTTGGCCGTCGCTGCCAAACGAAATTGGGTAGTACATCAATTGGATGTCAATAATGCCTTTCTCCACGGAGTCCTTTCAGAAGATATTTACATGCGTGTTCCCCAAGGATTTAGCAAAGATGGCGACACTCATATTTGTAAATTACAAAAATCGCTCTATGGCCTGCGCCAAGCTTCTCGTAATTGGTACCATAAATATAATTTACCCAATCACTTTTGAAAGTTTGATTTCGTCAATCTCGGGCAGATCATTCCTTGTTCCTTTTTCAACAAGGTGAGAACTGCACATTCGCTCTCATATATGTAGATGATGTCATCCTAGCCGGAAATGATGCATCTCATATCACCAAAATTAAGTGCTACATGGACGACCAATTTAGTATCAAAGACTTGGGTACGTTAAAATATTTTCTCGGAATCGAGGTCGCTCATTCACCCGAGGGGTTTGTACTGAGTCAACGCAAATATACTCTTGACATCCTGGAAGAAAGCGGTCTCCTTGCTGGTCGTCCCATTCAATTTCCCATGGAACAGAACTTAAAACTTCGACCTGATGATGATAACCCTCCTGTAGATGCCCCTTCATATCGCCGCTTGATCGATTGCTTATTGTACCTTACTGTGACTCGCCCTAACATTGTCTTCTCAGTTAGTCAGGTTAGTCAATTTCTAAGCCAGCCACGCCAGTCTCATTTCGACGCTGCCACACGTGTCCTTCGCTACTTAAAACAGACTCCAGGACAAGGAATTTTCTTATCTTCAGATAATGATTTCTCTTTGAAAGGTTATTGTGATGCTGACTGGGCAGGGTGCTCATACACTCGCCGATCTAGCACGGGATATTTTATCACCCTTGGCAATTCTCCAGTCTCTTGGAGGACGAAGAAACAGTCTGTTGTTTCACGTTCTTCCGCGGAAGCAGAATATCGTGCCATGGCTGTCACAGTTAGTGAAATTTTATGGTTACGATGGTTAGTTCGAGACCTAACTATTACTCAAAATGGTCCTACTTCCCTCTTCTGTGATAATCAAGCAACTCGACACATTGCACTTAACCCTGTTTTTCATGAACGTACCAAGCACGTAGAAATGAACTGTTATTTCGTTCGTGAACGTGTGGCTAGTGGTGAAATCCAACCATGTTGTATCTCTACAACACATCAAATTGCTGATATTTTAACTAAAGCACTCGGCAGTCATCGTTTCCAATTTCTCAGGAGCAAGTTGGGTGTTCGCAACCTTCACACGCCACCTTGAGGGGGAGTATTGAGATTATTTATTTTATGTCATATCATCCACGTACCATGTGTATTGTTTTCCTATTTGTAAGCATGTAAACATGGGTTCATATCATCCACGTACCATGTGTATTGTTTTCCTATTTGTAAGCATGTAAACATGGGTTCATGCTATGCATGGCCCATGCATTATTTCCTTCTATTATTCACACCACCTATTGTAATATATATATATATATATATATATATATATATATATATATATATATATATATATATATATATATATATATATATATATATGTATGTATATGTATGTAGTCCGCATGTAATAGAAGTAAGAAAGCTATGCCATATTTCCTTTACATGAATACTAGCTCTCTCAATACTAGCTCTTATTTTTATCATTAGTTTTATTTACATTTTAACATGGTCATCGGCCAGTGTGAACTATATTACTACGTACTATAATATGTGCATTGTTACATCCTCCGAATTAACCGTTCGACTGATGTTGGAGCTCTCATTCTTTTTAATAGTATGTGCATTGCGCTGCAACTTTCGTGATAAAATAAGATTTGATAGTTTTTGAAAATGCCGCTTTTATGCAATGTTTTGCATTGTTTATATATTGTGTAAATTTATTGTTCGATGCATATAATTTGAACATATTTTCACATTATCTCAAACTATGTATGCACGGGTGAAAGCTAAGCAAGGTCAAACGTACATAAATCTGAGATGATTGTAACTGCCCAACGTGTGGGGTATTTGACCGGTCAAATTGTTATCGTACAAATCCAAGCTCACCAAGTTTGATAGTTTGCCAAACTCCTCAGGTATCGTACCATAGATTGCATTACCAAAAAGCTCCCTGGCCGGAAAATGATAATAATTACTTAATAACATCTCTCAATTTTATTATGCAACTCCATAATATAAATGCATACCTGTCTTTGATGCACTTGTGCATAAGAGCGTGTATAATGTGAGTGTGTGGTGTGTATGGGCTCCCTATATTAGATGTGTATGCATAGACTTAAACGATACTATTTTAGGTCTCGGTGCCTCCGAGTTTATCTTTTTGATAAAAGTTTGTTTGTGTGGTCTCCATGAAATTTATATCATGTCTATCAAATTTCAGTTTAAAATTTAATCGGAAAGTCAATTAAATAAATTATTGAAAATTGCATAGTTTTATATACGGAGTAGTATAAAAAATGCAGTTTTTTTCAATATTTTATTTAATGAATGCTCGAATAAGTTTTAATCTGAAATTTGGTGGAGATGATCTATAAATGATGGAGAACATGTTTACAAAATTTGATTTAAAAAATCGATCTGGAAGAACTTCAAATGAAAGAGGCCTAAAACTTGTAATTTTTAGGTCTACCTTATATATGAACATTGTCCTATATGTGTGTGTGTGGACAAGGTGTGGATCAAACAAAAATTACTCTTCACGTGAAAAATGAAAATCGTTAACTTTCCTTCAATGTTGTGCACTATTAGATTTTAGGTTCCTATGCTGCACTATTTTGCATTGTCGGGAAACTTTGACATTTTAACACAATTTCACTGCATTTTTTATTTGGGGTGATTTGACCAAAGTTCAAAAAGTATAAGAGTTGAGCTTTAAAGTGCATTGACAATTAAAGAAAATAAACGATTAAAGTTTTCACACTAGAAGTCGTTTTTATTCAATCCGGAACCTACGTAGACATATTTTAATTTTGATTTGATGCTATGAAACTAATGAAAGAATATAATTTGAACTCACAAATACCGCAAATGTGCGAGGTTCTGGAGATTTGGAACGAGTGTACCAGAGAGCCCTGAAATTCCCAGATTACTGAAAGTAAACATGTTAATTAATTTATTAAATAAATAATTAAGTTGTATGGGTGTCCCATTCATAAATCCAAAATAAGGTAAGTAGGAGTTGACCGAAAATAAACATGCATTAGTTGGAAGGAAAAATCAAAAAATAAACAAGCACGTACAAACTTACATTTGAATAACATGTTTGTAATCCGGTTCACCTATTACTTGACCACATGTAATACGAAACCAAGAGCAGGGATCGACGAGACTAGTATCCCAATTATGTAGAACATTGCATTTAAGTCTTCAAGTGCATTCTTCATAGCATTTAAAGCTTCAACTGTTGTACGTAAAAACAGTCATATATAGATCACTTATAAGCTCGTCGGTTAAATATTAAATACTCCGTATATAGAGCGGTTTTAGATCCTCTTCCAATTTCAGATCTAATGTATATCAAATTAAAATAAGTCAACCTATTTGGAATGAGCTGGAACATTATATATTCTAAATTTCAGCCTATCAAAGCCATTACGTAGACTCTCTCCTGGCACTAGATTTGATAAAAAACCATAGTAGAAATTTGAAGGCATATTTTGACTTTGCACTCTGCTTATCGGTTGATATTGGACTTTGTACCTCATTTTTAAAACTCTTAGACTTTGCACCATATTTTCCCTAAAATATCTTTGACTTTGCACCTCATTTAGGAATTTTTCTTCACAAAATGTTGTAGATAGGGTGCAAAGTCTAAAAGTTTTGGAAATGGGGTGCAAAGTCCAATAATATCACCCAAAAGATGGGGTGGAAATTCAAAATTCCCCAAATTTGAAATATAAACTAAAACTCTCTATCACCGCAAAAAATGCAATATAAAGATAATAGTTTCATCATACTCCGTATCACTTTTCATGTGGAATACGTACTCTTAGGAAATGATATGTTTAATTTGTTTTTTCCCTTTCGATAGAAATTATCCAAAATACGACTAAAAACGTTTGTATATTTTAAAATAGTATTATCATGTTTTTAATCCCAAAATAAGATTGATTACTGACATGTTTTGACACTACCAGACTTTAAACATGACAGTATTTTCCAAAATTGACAGTAATTACTCCTATTTTGGGAATAAAAACATGACAGTCCTATTTTGGAATTTTCAAGCTTTTTTACTCCTATTTCGGGAATTTTCCCTGTGTGGGGGCATTCATTCGATCACGTCAGTTTTACTAATGAAAGATGTGGTTAAATTAAAACTTAAAATTAATGAAAGGAGTTATATTAGGGGTGTGAATTGGATCGAACCTTCTACGTTATCGTTACCAAGGACTCGGTGCATGTGAACAAGCCGAATAGGAATAGCCGCAGGCTGCTGCTTTCTCCTTTTAGCATTTTCCCTGATGATGCCGCCGCTGTATGTGATTTTCTTTCTTTCAAATTAAATTCGTAGTAAATGATTTGCACTCACGAGATTACAAGTTATATTGCAGCATTGGTATTTATATACTACCACATCAAACATATCGGAGTACTTCGTATCCAAATAAAGCAATAAAGTTCAATGCCGCCTATATTACTAATACACTTCTCCCGACAAAGATATGACTAGTTATGTTTTTGAATAGAAATAAGATTAGTTATACGAGTAATTAGACAAGAGTCACTATAGTGTATTTATGAATTTAGATGATGAGTCACTCATGACTAGTCACCGACTACATCACGTTCTTGGAAAATTTCAAATTAACTAATTTTTTTGTATTAATTCAGTTATATTCATAGAAAAGGCTTTTATTGTCACCATTTAAATTTTAAATATATTTTATTAATAAAACCACACAAAAAATAAATGAAAAGTATTTAACGGTCAAATACCCCACACATCCGATTGAAAATTGCTGGTCTGGTCTGGTATGGGGTCTGGCCAAAATTCCAGCAAATTTAGTCCACTTATCAGCCTCAGAATCAATCTTTGCATTATATTTTATTTAAGGTTGGGTTTTTCATATCAGTCTTTGTATTAAATTTGGTTTTTCATACCTAAAATTTGCATTAAATTTTTTCAGAATTTTGGCCGGAAAGACGAGGGGTGGTGAGGGGATAATGGTCACGGACTAAATGTGAACAATCTGAAAGTAAGGGACTAAATGTGAAAGTGGTATAATAGTGACGAGACTAATTTTTTCTTACTTTAACTTACGTTTGCCATGATAAAGCTTAGGCCCACCATTACAAAATCTGCTGACTTTAATAGTCTGATGACTACCCGTAAATTCCGAAACATAACCTGGGTCATAAATACAATGTTAATACTAATAAATAGAACTATACACACGCGCACACACAAACATATACCCCTTCCGTCTTTAAAAGGATTGTCAAGTTTGACTCGCACGTAAAATAATAAAGTAAAAATTGTGTGGTAGAGATTTGTGCAAAAGAGAGAGAAATAAGAGGAACCACAAATTGATTGATTAAAAGGGAAAGTGGCAAAGTTATAAGGGACAGAGGGAGTATATAATTATATACAGGGTTGGGTTCTAATGACAAGACATATTAACGTGAGAAGTGAGAAGTTACACATTTACCTATTTCTGACGCACTTTTTTGCTAATCTGATGCATTTTTTGTGATGACAGAAAAGTTTCGATTATTTACGGAAATGCCACCGCGTCTAGGATCACTTTTTACGAAAATTGCTGGTCTGGTTTAGTCCGTGACGATTATCCCCTCACCACCCCTCGTCATTCTGGCAAAAATTCCACCAAATTTAGTCCACTTATCAACCTCAGAATCAGTCTTTGCATTAAATTTTATATAAGGTTGAGTTTTTCATATCAATCTTTGCATTAAATTTGGTTTTTCATACCTAAAATTTGCATTAAATTTTACCGGAATTTTGACCGGAAGAACGAGGGGTGGTAAGGGACTAAATATGGACAATCCGAAAGTAAGAGACAAAGTGGTATAATGACCAAAACTGAATTTTTTCTTACTTTAACTTACGTTTGCCATGATAAAGCTTAGGCCCACCATTACAAAATCTGCTGACTTTAATAGTCTGATGAGTACCCGTAAATTCCGAAACATACCCTGGGTCATAAATACAATGTTAATACTAATAAATAGAACTATACACACGCGCATACACAAACATAATGACATATAGAGGAAAATCATTAAAATACCCCAAACTTTGATAGGGTGTGAGATAAACACCCCAAACATGCATATGTAATTTAAATATCCCAATCTTTACAAAAAAATTATTTTAGCACCATGATCATGTATTATTTCTTTCAAAAATATTAACTTTTGGTTTTTATTTCATAATTTGATAATTTTTAACATTCATAAAAATACAATTAACATTCTAAGCTTCCATTGTAAAATAAATAGTATTACCCACCATTATATATAATTCTAATGTTTTCAATTTGCTATTTTAAATTATGCAATTAACACCTCAAATTTACATCTTTGAAAGAAATAATACATAATCATGGTGTTAAAATAACTTTTTATATAAAGTTTGGGGTATTTAACTTACATATGAAAGTTTGGGGCGTTTATCTCACACCCCATCAAAGTTTGGGGTATTTTAATTATTTTCCCCTTATATATATATATGGAGTGGTTCCGGTAAGAACGGACTCCCAGAAGAGAAATGAGAACGAATCTGGACTATTGGATTGTATTATGTGGAACTGAATTGTGCATTTGGTGAAACTGAAATGTGCATTAGATGATATTGAAATGTGCTGAATAAAAATTTAAACTCAAGTGTGCATTAGATGAAACGAAAATGTGTGGAATAAAAGGTACAAAAATAACATCACGTCGTACCTTTTATCATGCACATTTCAATTTCACTTAGTTCACATTTCAATTTCACCTAATGCACAATTCCGTTTCACATAATGCCACTGTATTGTACCATGTATTTGTGCTACAAATTTCAATTTCACCTAATGCACATTACAGTTTCATCTAATGCACATTGAATTTCACTTAAAGTAAATCTAACGGTCCAGATTCATTCTCATTTCTCTCCTAAGATCATGTTCTTATTTGAACCAAAACATATATGTGTGTGTGTGTGAAGA